TTATTTTCCTCGGTGTTCACAAGAGAGGATGTGAACAATCTTCTTGCGTTTGCGGAAATACGGTTTGACACAGTGCTGATCTCCATTATGTTCTCAGAGGAGGGTATAAGAAATAAACTGTCAAAGCTTAAGATTCACAAGAGTCCCGGCCCTGATATGGTACATACCAGAGTGTTAAGAGAACTGTATAACCAGCTTGCGGAGCTCCTTAAGATCCTGTCCTGCAAAGGCCTGTATGAGCAAAATATCCCCCATGACTGGGAAATGGTTTATGTACAGTAAGTCCTCGACTCAAGAAGGGCGATCGTCACTCTATGAATAATTATAGACCAGTGAGACTGACCAGCATAGTGTGCAAAGTACTAGAGAGTATCATAAGAGATGCCATGATGGAACATCTACTACGAAACAACCCTGTAAAGGACTTCCGACACGGTTTTATGCCGGGACGATCCTGGTTAACACAAATTACTGAAGGTACTAGATGTTTGAACTCAAATTATAGAACAAGGCGGAAATACCCAAAGGGATTAGAACGCCTGCAAATGCCTAGCTTATACTACAGACTGGCAAGGGGCGACCAAATCGAAGTTAAAAGGGGAGGCTGGACGGGTAAAGCCAGTGTCTGACGAAAACTCAAACGAGTGGAAGGTTGCGAGTAGTGGGAAGACGAAGCTGGTGGTGAATAAGTACACCAAGGATACGACAACAACGACAACAACAGCTACGTGTACCAACCCATTCAGTCCCTTGATAGACGAATTGGACGTTAGTACAGTCAGGGACAGAGATGACAAGGAAGGTATAAAAACTTTAATTGTTGGTGACTCACAGGTAAGGTACATGGACAGGGCCTTTTGTGGTAAAAACAAAAATAGGATGAGGGTGTGTTTGCCAGGAGCTGGGGTGGGGCATATAATTGACAGGATGGACAATATCTTGTCTGGTAATGGGAACAAACCCATTATCTGCCTCAGTGCAGGAAGCAATGATGTTGGCCGGTGTAGGAACGAGGAGCTTCTTGATAAGTTCAAGGCAGATATAGATCGTATTAGGACTAAGGGAGGGATCCCTATCATATGTGGTGTCCTGCCTAGAAGGAGAGTTAGCAGTGAATGGTTGTCAAGGGCAGTTGGTGTCAACGACCGTCTTGACAGATATTGAAAGTCAATATCAGTCCCATTCATTGACAACCGGGACGACTTCTATGGCAGAAGGGACCTTTATGCTAGGGATGGGGTGCACCTGTCTAGGGATGGAGTAGCACCCTGGCTGGGGCTCTAGAGGGGGCAGTTCAAAAGATATCGAAGTCTTTAAACTGCTAGAACAAATGAGCACGGGGATGGAGAAGACTGCAGTGGGAGCGGGTAAACAAAGTGAAAGATTACAGGGAAATAGTGTTAGGAATCATGACAAAACTAAATTAGACAGGGAGTTTAAAACTAAACGCGGTAAGGGGAGGACTCAGAACACGACTAACTTAAGTGTATACTACGCGAACAGTAGAAGTATGAGAAACAAAATGGATGATATTACGGCCTTGGTATGTACCGAAAAAATCGATATAATAGCATTCACTGAAACATGGATCAACCTAGACACACGTGAGTTACCAGTCGAATACCAAATTGCGGGTTACAAACTGTTCCATACCGATAGGCAGACCAGGAAAGGAGGCGGAGTAGCAATCTATGTTAGGAATAATCTGAAGTGTGAAATAAATAAGGAAATAAAAACTGAGCGGAATACAGAAACAATTTGGATAGAATTAATTGACGGTAGGGAAAAATTAATCACAGGAGTAATATATAGACCTCCCAATCTTGATAGAGTCAATGAGCGACTTATCTGGGATGAAATGCGCAGGGCTTCCATACACAACAAAGTCTGTATAGTAGGCGACTTTAACCTTGGCCAAATAGATTGGACTGACCTTACAGGTAACTCAGAATCAGAGGATTTTCTCGAGACGATCCAGGACTGTTTTCTAAGTCAACATATAACCGAACCCACACGGGGTAATAATATACTCGATTTAGTTCTGTCAAACAGAGAAAACCTCATTAGCAGTGTCGAGGTAGGGAACGAACTTGCAAACAGCGATCACAAAGAAATTAGATTCCAGTTAGATTTTCAGGGCAGACGTAAGGAAAATTCCACTAAAGTACCAGATTTCAGAAGGGCGAACTTTGACAGTTTAAAGAGGCAGCTGAGAGAGGGGGTGTCGTGCTTGGCCGTGAACCTGACAGATGACATACCCGATAACGAGATCTGAGATTGCCGAGTTCCACGACAATTTAAATAGTGAGTTACTTAATGCACAAAGGCAGAACATACCATACAAAAAACTCAGATCAGACAACAATGACCCTAAATGGATAAATAATTATTTAAAGAACATCATTGGCCAAAGGAAGGCTATAGGTAGAAGGATAAAGCGTGGCGAAATTCACCTCCGGGACTATTATAGGGTATTGGCGAGTAGGGTTAAAACCGAGATAAGGAAAGCAAAGAGGAATAATGAGGTAAGGATAGCAAGGGAGGCGAAGACAAACCCCAAAGGATTCAACCAAATGTATCAAACTAAAACACGAGAAAACATTGGACCAATACGGTCAGACACCGGCGAGCTCACTCATAACGACAGAGAAATGAGCAATAATTTGAATAAATATTTTTCAACAGTTTTCACCACAGAAAATTTAAACATGATACCCGAGGCACCGACTCTATTCAGAGATAGTGAAGAAAACAAATTAGGCGAGATAGAAGTGACTAGTAACGATGTTAGTAAGCAAATAGACAAACTAAAGCCAAATACGTCACCTGGTCCCAATGAGATATTTGCCAGAGTATTAAAGGAATGTAAGGAAGAGCTTAGTATGCCCTTAGCAAAGTTGTTTAACATGTCCTTAAAAACAGGTGTAGTACCAGAATCCTGGAGGATAGCGAATGTAATACCGATTTTCAAGAAGGGGGATAGATCACTATCCTCTAACTACCGCCCAATCAGTCTAACATCAATAGTAGGCAAATTACAGGAAGCAATCATTTCAAACTCTATTCGAAATCACCTGGAGAAGCACCGATTGATCAATGATTCCCAGCATGGCTTCACAAGCGGACGTTCTTGCCTAACTAATCTATTAACATTTTTTTCATCAGTTTTCGAATCGGTGGACGAGGGGCACAATTATGATGTGGTATATCTCGACTTTAGCAAAGCCTTCGACAGAGTCCCCCACGAAAGACTAATTAGAAAGGTAGAAGCTCATGGTATCAAAGGTAACATCCTTAAATGGATTAGGGCGTGGTTACAGGACAGGAAACAGCGAGTGAGCATTAACGCACTAAGTCCCATTGGAGCAACGTCACAAGTGGAGTTCCCCAAGGCTCAGTACTTGGACCATTATTATTTATTATATACATAAACGACATAGATATCGGCATAGACAGCAACATAAGTAAATTTGCTGATGACACTAAAATAGGACGTGTTATTAAATCTGACGAGGACTCAGCAAAACTACAGGAAGATCTAAACAAATTTTTCGAATGGTCTGAAAAATGGCAGATAAAATTCAACGTGGACAAATGTAAAGTACTCAGTATAGGAGATGTAAACAGGGAAACCAGATACCAGATGAACAATGATGCCATAGAGAAATCCGACTGCGAGAGAGATTTAGGAATAATGATAAGTAGGAACCTTAAGCCAAGTAAACAATGTGTTTTTGCTCGTAACAAGGCTAATAAAGTACTTGGATTCATACAAAGGAGTGTTAGTTACAAGACTAGCGAGGTCATCCTAAAACTGTATCTTGCTCTTGTGAGACCACACCTAGATTATGCAGTTCAGTTCTGGTCACCGTATTACAGAATGGATATAGAATCCTTGAAAAGAATTCAGAGGAGAATGACAAGACTAATCCCGGGCATTAGGAACCTTGAGTATAGAGACAGGTTAAAGCATCTTAATTTGCACTCCCTCGAGAGACGTAGAGCGAGGGGCGACCTGATAGAGGTGTATAAGTGGAAGGCAGGGCTAAACAAAGGGGACATTACAAAGGTACTCAATCTATCCAACCAGGAGCGAACTCGTAACAATGGTTTTAAATTGGACAAATTTAGATTTAGGCGTGAAATAGGTAAACACTGGTTTGGAAACAGAATTGTGGATGAATGGAACAAGTTACCAAATATCATCATTAACTCGAATACGCTGCATAGCTTCAAACATAGGTTGGATGCTTATATGAGCAATAGGGGTTGGGTGTAAACGGGACTGCCTAGTATGGGCCAATAGGCCCGCTGCAGTTTCCTCCATTCTTATGTTCTTATGTTCTTATCTCAGGAGGGACTACTCGGTCGAATGTTCATACGTGGACCTGGTGGACGCCCGTCCCACAAGGGGTCACAGCTCAAGGTTGAAGAAACCACAACTCTAGAAAACTGCGAGGGCAAACCTTTTCGGAGTGAAAATTGTGAATTCTTGGAATAATCTGCCATAGAGTGTTGTGACGGCACCGAGTGTGAATTCATTCAAGGCCAGACTTGACTAACACTGGAACAGGTTCTGATATAATCAGGAGCCAGTGCATGCCCAGTACTTGCCAACAGTGCGTAACAAAGACATGACCGACCGCCCAAGTGGGTAACGAGACGATCAGTGGGAAGAGGATATAAGTAAAAAGTAAAAGTAAACAGTTTAGACCTGAGGTTTATTAACGTTTCGACTTCACAAGACTCTTCGAAGAGACTACAAGCCAATAGAGCTGTCCGGACGTGTTATTGACACTTGTCGATATATAATACAAACAAAATAAAATTTTGAAAATAGGTTCCTTACCGATCCATGATATTAATTCTATGTTAGAAAGAAAACACTCATCTATTTTTCTTCTTGCTGGGGGAATATGTCAATTTTCCAAATTACGTTTGTACGGCAATATGAATAGTGAAATATAAAATATATTATTAGCTAAGCAGAAGATACTTACCGTGTACACCCTGTAGAGACCAAAAGGAACAGCAATGGCCGCTGACATGATCCAGATGGCCAAGATGATGGCGGCCGACTGCCAGTACTTGAAGTGCTGGTGGAAGGGATACACCACACCCACCATGCGGTCACAACTGATGGTGGCCAGTGACGTCACACTCACCAGCATCACCAACACTGTGGGATTCAAAGGCGGGGGTTAAAAATCAAACGCCAGATTCACCAAGATAACTCGTATTCTGTTGAGAGATCAAGGGTTGTGTCAGGTCACCAAAACACTGTGGCCTGAGAATGGAGGATCACCAGCAGTGTAGGATGACGCTTTGACCGGAGTGTTATTGCTATTTTATAAGAATAACTGGAAGGTGCTGAGACATACATGCCGAGAGGCACTTATTGAAACATGTTATGGCAGAAAGATGTTAAGAGACAGACACTGAGACACATTTTAAGAGAGAGAAACATGTTAAGAGACAAATAAAAAAAACATAATTAAGGAGACATGTTTAAATGGCAGGTTCAGAGGCATCGCGACACTGCACCGCAGTTCTGAGGTACGAGCAACTTATCACACCACTAGCTGGAACGAGTGAACTGCATTCATCCTTTTGTTGAGTTTCCAGTCTTCCTCTCGTAATTCTGATTAAATCCCACGTAATTTTAATTTCATCTCTGGAGCGTCGAGTTTCATGTTTGCCAGGAATGTTTACCTAAAATCTCCGAATCCATGCATATCTTCTGATGAACCTACTGGGCTGGTGCGTTAGTCTTTCATGGACAGTGTTATTGAGTTTAATATGTGCAAAGTTTCTCAAAGTTGATGCGTTTGAGGAGAATTATCTATTGCATTACATTTGTTTTTGTTGTCGTGAGAACCACTTAGCCCTCATGACAGATCAGGACGAACATCTTACCTTAACCTGAAGAGTGATGTTCTCACCTGCCCTCGAGTCTCAGCTCACTGGCTATTTACAGTATATTAAGTGGCAAGTGAAAGTGTCAGCCGCGTATGCCTAGATTCACCCCCACAGACAGGAGGAGGCAGTGCAGGAAGTCTCCCTTTTATGTCTGGGTTTTTACGAATAAATAAAAATTCAGTGATTGACATATAATAACACTGTCAGTCAGGCCTTAAACACATCACAGAGTCTCTTCAAGAACCTCCGCTGCCACTATCAACACACTGCAGGATGATGTCACTATAGGAAACAAACACGGCAGACAATAACAGGGTGATATGTTTTCATGTAATATTAAAATAAATTCGATATAATAACAGTTGTGACTCAACCTGAGGAAACAGAGGATGTAGTTAAAGTAGAGAAGAGGATGATATGTGATGGGGCTATGGTGCAACTTGTGTGTGGTCTTCGAGGTATCAACAGTCTTCTACCTGTAATAGTCCAAGAACTAGGGGGAAGGGGGTTAATCACCCGTCCGAGGTCAAAAGGTTTGATGGTATTTTTTTAATATATATTATGTGAATAAGTCAAAATATCACTTCTTACTTGATACAGCCTGGCCCAAAATCTGTGGCAAAGGGTTAAAATTTTTACATAACAGTCTATATAATTAATATTGAAATATAATTTAGTGGTCAGTACAATAACTAACTGATGAGGTTTTGTCATTAAATGCTGCACTTTGCAAGTTATCACTATGACCTTGTTAGTGATGAAAATCTGTATTGCATTTCAACTGGCTGTGCAGTTTCAGAAAAAGTGAAAGAAGAGTTGACACAGTATATTGATATTGGCCAGAAGTGGTATGATGAGTTAGTAACAGACTGTTATAATGATGCTAGTAGATTTGAAAACCAATACCACGGCGAAGAGTGAAGAACTTTGTAACAGGAGGAGTAAATGTCAAGTTAACTGGTGAAGTTAGGAAGATCCAAGAGACACAAGCAACAAGAGACCTATTTGGAAGGTTATTATACCTAGCCACAAAAATTTATATTGATCTTTCTAAAGTTCTGAGTTACCCCATCACTCCTGTACCTGCACCTCTGGCTCATCTTAATGGATTAATCAATAAAACAGAAAAGTCTACGCTCCTAAAGAAACTTGAAACGAAAGTAAACAGTCAGCCACCTTCCACACTCGAAGCTTGTGTTATACCCTGTGGATACAATGTTTCTCGTCATATCTTTGTCAGATCTCCCTGAGAAAGTCCTGCTGTCAAAGTTTGTGTTCTCATGCTAGACGAGTGGACATTGTGGGTGATGCTTGTACAAGTCCATCAATCAAAGATATCGAACGACACATTGTTATTGCTGACCCTGATCAGTTACGACCAAAAAACTTCAGTCAAGCACTGTCATCCGGCCTACCAAGACGTCACTCTTCAATTTCCTTGCAGCTGAATGGGAAAAGGACACCTGCAAGGAAATGTTAGACGGTCATGAAATTTATCTAGCACTATAAGAAGAGTGTTATAAATTTGAAGTAAAAAGAGGATAAGTGTTTCAGCAGATTGTACCTGAACTTGGTTGTCAGCATGAGGAAGCCGACACACGAGTTGTTTTGCTTGTGAACCATAACAAGGAAAAAATGACAGATATAATGGTGATCCTTCTTTACCATATTGCCAAGGGTACTGGTACTACCAAAGTTTGGGTGGACCTTGGATTTAGCAGCAACAACTCTCGTAGATATATAGATGTTACTGCCCTTGCTGCTAATTTAAGAGAGACCACCTGCTCTGCCTTATCAAGCAATACATGCTTTTACAGGATGCGACTACACATAATCATTCATGCGAAAAGGAAAAGCACGTCCGTATGATATTATGGAAAAGTCTAAGGTTTTTCAGGAAACATTTTCCAAGGTTGGGGATTATCCAAAAGTAACTCCAGGTGTGATCTTGTCATCAGAATCATTTGCGTGCACTCTCTGTGGGAAAGGAAAGTTTAAAGGTTTGAATGATGCAAGATTTGCTTTGTTTCGGCAAAATAATGCACCTGCTACTCATCGGCATCCTCTTGAAAATATTAAACATAGTGATCCGAGATTCTTCCTCCTTGCAGATCAGTTTTGGCTGAAAAAATTAAGCATGCAAACTACTGTACAGTATGTAGCATCAGTATGGAAGAAGGGAGACAATAACTCCAGTAAAGTAGCAAGAAGAGCACAGCGGCTGGGAACTCAAACATAAGCAGTACACAATAAAATGGTTTGAAGATGATCAGATTCCACAGGAAATATGTGTAGCAATAGATGGCACAACCAAGTTGTCTACAGATGTTAGTGAAGATGAATTAACATATGAAACACCAGGTGAGTCTAATTATGATTCTGACTGATGCGTACTCACTAGCTCAATTCATTTTGTAACTATATAATACTGTGGACGACATTCTATTTGAATTACAAAAAAATTGCTGAAGTTGTTTATTTAGTTCTGGGGTATGAGGTATGATGTATGATAAATAGGAACTATATGATTACGTCAAAAGATGATTGAGAATGATTATTATTTGTTTAAGAAACATGACAGTGCACCTTTCTTTTGATGCACTTTAATGCCCTTAAGGTGCAGGTACGGTATGATATAAACATGTTTCGTCATTGGCATGTAATTCAGAGATTGTGATCAAATAAACAGTTTGTCTACAGTTTATCTTGTACTTAAGTGCGATTCTATGCATTTTTGTACCTGTGCATCATATCAAAAATTTTGTTTTAATGTGTGGTAACTGAGCTTCTTTGGTTTTTATATGTTTTAATGTGCAATAAATATGTTTCTATGGTTTTTTTATAATTTACATTTTCGTTAATTCTAAAATTGCAACACAACTGCACAAAATAATAAGGTCAAATTACAATTACGGCGATGTAATTTCCCTGTGTGTAAAAAAGTCGCCACCACGCCGTACTATTGTTAACCCTTTGCCACAGGTTTTTGGCAATGCTGTATCAAGTAAGAAATAGTATTTTGATTTACTTATATAATATACATTTAAAATATGCCACAAACCTTTTGGCCTCAGACGGGTGATTATACCCCCTCGCTCTTGCTCTCAATGGCGAAACTGAGAGAAAGAAGAAAGGGTAAACTCGAGAATACAAATAGAGGTAACTTAAGCCCTCCAAAAGATAGAGAAGAAGAAATACTAAGTTAGAAGACAACACGTAGTGCCTCGGGTGAGTGTCTTACTCTGTATAAAGCCCTCTAGGTAGCACCATGCTTCCCCCAGCGGCCAGAAGTTACTGGTGTCCCGCACGGTGAAGGGTATTGGCCCGGCGATGGCAGTGATGAGGTCAGCGACGGACATATTGAGGATGAAGTGGTTGACGGAGGTCCTGAGCAACAAGCGGTTCTTCATGAGGATGATGATAACGGACAGGTTACCCATCACGGCCACGGACACTATCAGGGTGACGAAGGTCCACCTGATACCCAGCTCCCAGCCTGGTGTGTCCGTGAGGTTCCTGGGGAAATCCATATCGCTGAAGCAGAAGGTTTTGTTGCCCTGGTTGATGTAGGAGCAACAAGTCTCGTTGCACGTCATGTCCGACAACTTGGGAGCGACTCCTAATGCTGCTGCTTCTACTGGGTCCTCCGCCCATGCTGTCCATGACCTGTCATACCCACACGAGGTCGGGTTAAAGAAGTTAGGGTAGGTTAGCTTAGGTTAATTTAGCTTAGTGTTTTCTAGATTAGATTAAGTTACGCTACCAAAAGTTAATCTAGTTAAGGTGAGGTTAGGTTAGCTAGTTTATTTTCTGGCTATCTTAGCTTATAAAAGGGTAGGTTGGGTTAGTTTAAGTTAAGATACCTTATGTTAAGTTATATTAGCTTCAAGGTTAGATGAGGACAGGTTAGAATAGAACATTTTAATGGGTGAAAGATATCATGGATATTGACGGATGAGACTAACACAACATACCCACGTCATTACAACTTACAATGCTTGTACTGCATTTATTTTATGTACGTGGAAACTTTTAGGCATAAATTCCGTTAAGATTATTTTGGCGGTGAAAGTGTCACTGG